GTAGAGGTCTTTTGTGTCTCTGGTAAGATTTATTCCCAAGTATTTTATTTTTTTGGTAGCTATTGAGAACGGTATTGATTTTCTTATTTCTTTTTCAGAAATCTCTTTGCTGGTGTAGAGGAATCCAACTGATTTTTGGATGTTGATCTTATATCCTGCGACGTTGTTAAATCTCTCAATTAGTTCCAGTAATGATAAATATTTTTGAAGAAATCAAATAAGCACAACTTGGAGAATCTATGTCATCACTGTCACTAAATGGTATATGTAGGAAAAAAAAATATGTGTGAGACCAAAAGGTCAAAAACTACTCTAAAGCAAAGATGAGAAGATAAAGGGGTGGGGAAACTAGAGTACTGGGAATGGTACAACCAGAAGAGAATAAATGAAAATGATAACACATTGAGAAAAATACAACCAATATCTCTGAACAATTTGCATAGAAATTGTTAAAATGGAAACCTAATTTCATATGTAAACTTCTACCTTATACACAACAAAATATTGTTTAAAAAGAAAAGAAAACATGAAACAGCATACTATATCACACATAATGGTCTAAATATGTTTACTGAATTTTTTTTTCATATGTGTATGCTGGATTGTTATATATATATATATATATATATCCCAAGCCCAAACTGAAACTCACTGCCATCGAGTTGATCCCGACTCATAACAACCCTATAAGACAGAGTAGAATTGCTCCATAGGGTCTCTAAGGCTATAAATCTTTACAGAAGCAGACTGCCTCAGCTTTCTCCCATGGAGCGGCTGATAGGTTAGAACCGCTGATCTTTTGGTTAGCAGCCAAATACCATAACCACTATGCCACCAGAGCGCCTATATAACATACAATATATGCTATATAACTGTATATACAATATATGTTCATATACTGGATTGTTATGTAAAACACATTTCTTACTTGGAAACTACTCCATTGGAAGACCACCAGGTTAGCTTCTAGAAAAACTCTATTGTAAGTCAAAAGGCCAGGTCCTCGTTCTGCTAGACAAGCTAGGGGGTGGTCTGCAGTGCAGTGAATTACTTGGTATGGCTTTTCTAGCCTAGTCTTTGTAACTCCCACCAGATTACTAGGTGGGACGTTGCAAATAAAGTGTGTAGAACTCTGATGTTGCGATTGGTTGGTTTTGTCACTCTGCCAGGTTTAAAATGAGCCCTTCTAGAGGCAGACAGGAAATCTCACTGCCATCAAGAAAGAAGAGCTGGAGGTGAAGTGGAGTGCATCTTTGGACTCAAGATCCCTATGCTGGACTTCCTTGGCTGAAAGAGACACCCCAGCAAGAGATGCCCCAATGGAGAGATGTGGTAGAGGCACAAGATAAAGTGGCAGGCTTACCTGACCCACAGAGGCAGAGGCCAGGCCGATGGCCAAGAGCCAGAGGAGCATATCTGAGGGCACAGCACAGGGGAGACTGTCCTGATTGAAGAACTGTATCCTGAGCACATTCCTGAACCTGAATCGTAGCCTGTTACTTCCCTAATAAACCCCATAATCATGAGTATTGTCTGTGAGTTCTGCATGGCCATCACAACAAATTATTGAACCCAGCAGAGAAATAGTGAGTGCCGTGGGAGGGACAGTTGGTGTCAGAACTGGTAAAAGGCTGGAGGCTGGGGCTGGCGGCTGGCAGCATGTCTGGCCTCATAGGAATAAACCTTGAGCTGTTGATGGTGATTCTGTCTTCCTCTTATGAAGTTAGATGAGGTCAGAAGATGCCATCTCCATATCCTTTTAACAGTGGTGAATGTCAGACAGCAGTTATTAGTGATAAAAAGAGAATACAAGCAGAGAAGAAGGATGTGAACTATCAAAGGGGGCTGAATTTTAGATAGGGTGGTCAGGACATTCTTGCAGACAAGGTGGCTCTTGAGAAAAGACCTGATAGAAATGAGGGTACTAGGTATGTGTGTATCTGGGGAAGAGCATTTCAGAAGGAAGAAACAGCAACGCCAAGGCCATGAGGTGGCCAGTGTGGTTGGAGGAGACTGAGCAAAGAAGAGAGTAGTAGAAGATGAAGTCCGAGTGGTAACAAAAGGAAGGGTGGGAAGGTCATAACAGATCAGAACTGAGTTTTTTTTATTATTTTATTTTTATTGTGATTTGGGTGAAAATTTACAGAGCAAATACGCTTTCCATACAGCAGATCACACACACTTTGTCTCATGACACTGACCACAATTTAGCACAATGCAACATCTCCTCTCCCACTTCCTCCCGATAGGTACCACTTCCCTGTGACCATCCCTCCATGCACTCTTACCCTCTGAGCTGTCTCCCTGTGCCTGAGCAGCCCTTCTTTCTCTCTTGCTTGTTCTCTCCAAGGAGTGTATCTACCTCAGGTAAATGCTCAACTAGTATGCCTGTCTACTGCTTGGCTAGAAGCCACAGGTGCAGAACTGAGTTCTTTAGAGAACTTCAATCCTTTTGTAAATTATGGATAACAATACCAGTCTGCACACAGTTATGAGGATCAAATGAGATGGAAGTGTGCTCTCAAAAACTATGAGATCTGCAATATACAGGCATGTAAGGTAAACATTTGCACCATTAGGTACACTCCCTAGAACAGTCAATCATGGGAGATCAGAAGGGCAGTGTTTGCACAGGGAGATAGCTCAGAGGACAAGAATGCATAGTAAAGAAACAAAACAAAACAAAAAAACCAAACTCACTGCCATTGAGTTAGATCTGACTCATAGCGACCCCTCCTTGGGTTTCCAAGGCAGTATCACTACAGAAGTCCAACCTTCCTTGATGCGTGGAAAAGGTAACCACAGGGAGGAAATGGGAAGAGAGCTGTTGCATTATGGGGATTGCAATCAATGTCATGAAACAAAATGTGTATGAACTGCCATATGGAAAATGAATTTGTTCTGTAAACTTTCATCCAAATCACAATAATAATAAATAAATAAATAAACAACTATGAAATCCAATCCAACTATTAAATATTTACTACTAAGTATTACTATGAAATATGAAGTACTGTTTTGTGGACTAACATAAATGGAGCAAGTCCATGACAATGGGGGAATGCTAGCTCTCTCTCCCAGGCCACCCCAAGCCACTTTGAAGAGTTTTGACTTCTAGATACAGCAGATCTCTCAGTAGTGGCAACCTTTAATGTCAAGAGTCTAAAGGTTTCTTGCTTTTGATTTAGACATTCCATCACCCAAAGTTAAGTAGTCTTCATCGGGAGAACTTCATCTGGAATCTGAAAAATGTTCCTCTTCTGGAGAAATATCTGTATGCCTTGGACCAGAATCGAAATCGTGAGATTATTGAACAGGTCATTCAGCTGTTCAAGGATGAAGTAATGACCAAACTAAATCATTTTCGAGAATGTGAGTATTTTCCCAATCAAATAAATATTTTTCTCTATATTTAAATTGTCAACTTTCAAACCATCAGAAGAGTACAGAAGACACAACTTGGGTTTTATCAAATCTTAAAATTTTGCCATATTTGTGCATGTTATTTTTTTAAAGAATATATTAGTTTTTATTTTTCTTAAAATGGTTACATTTGAAGCCCTCGGTATATTTTATACATATGATTCTACCTCTCTCCCTGCTAATGAGTTTGCATGCATGTTTTAATATCAGTACTACATTTTTGCCATTATCTTTATTTTCTTTGGGCTTACTTTGCTAATTTTTAAGTTATTTTTTCAATTACTATTTTGGACCTTAAACCAAAACCACACCCACCACCATCAAGTTGATTCTGACGCATAGTGACCCTTGTTGGGTTTCCAAGGGTATAAATCTTTATGGAAATAGATTGCCTCATCTTCCTCCTCTGGAGCACCTAGTAGGTTTGAACTGCTGACCTTCTGGTTAGCAGCCAAATCCCTTACCCACTATGCCACCAGAGTGCCTTATTTTGGACCTTAGGCACATAAAGTTAATTAAACATCTTTGGCTGAGAAAGAGAATGAACTAGAGTGTTAAATAACTGATTTTACATGGCTTGATTTTTTTTTTGCTTTTAGGTATCAATCATGGAGATCTTAATGATCATAACATTTTAATAGAGCCCAGCAATTCAGCCTTTGGAGATACTGGATATCAAGTGTCTGGGATTTTAGACTTTGATGACATGAGCTATGGCTACTATGTGTTTGAAGTGGCCATAACCATCATGTACATGATGATTGAAAGCAAGACTCCCTTACAAGTGGGAGGTCATGTCCTTGCAGGGTTTGAAAGTATAATCCCACTGACAACTGTAGAGAGGGGTGCTTTGTTCCTACTTGTGTGCAGTCGTTTTTGTCAGTCACTTGTGATGGCTGCCTACTCTTGCCAGCTACACCCGGAGAACAAAGAATACCTCATGATTACTGCAAAAACTGGATGGAAGCACTTACAACAAATGTTTGACATAGGCCAGAAAGCTGTAGAAGAAATCTGGTTTGAAATAGCCAACTCCTATAAATCTGGGATCTCCTTGTGACCAGTTCATATTAATTTCAATAATTAAAAACCAAATAGGATCAAATCTAATTTTATGAAGGATTTCCCTACACAGTTAAAAATGAATTGATGGAACCGATCAATTCTGAACATGACTAAGCATATGAAACCACTAAGGTCTCCAAATAATCTCATGATCATGCTTTAAAGTTAAGAAAGTATTACATGAGCAATGATGTCTTTCTGTGGGTCTCGCTGCCTTATGTATTAAATATGCATAATGACCTAATAATTTTGAATCAGGTAATCTCTCAAGGTCCATTCTAGGCCTGAGATCAATGAGTATTTTAAACTTTGAAAAGAATACGCACATACATATTTTAAATAACTGGATATAACCTACAGACTTAGCTAGCATATCACCAATTCTACGATGCCTTCTCTGAGCTCTCCTTTCTTTAAAATCTCATTGCACTTAGTCTTTCTTAGTGCACATTACTTTGTATAATGGATGATGGTTGTGTAGTTAGTCATCTAGCCTGAGAGCTATTTGAAGGCAGAGACTATGCAAAACCTATTTTTGTCTCCCCACCCCTTCTACTCATACCTGATATAGTAGTGCCTTTCCCACAGAAGCTTCTTTAAAAATATTTGCAAAATGATTATATATTAGAAGAAAGGCTAGAGATGATAAGGCATACACAAAGACACCTTAGGGGAGAACTCAGATGACATTCATAAAGGAAAAATGTTTAACTTGTATGAAAGGGTAATTGAAGCTAGAACTCCAAACAAAGAGGCTGCCAGAAATAGATGCTAAAAGACACCATTCTGGAGAACTGTAAGGAAGCAAATAAAGATGCCCCAGCAAAGCCATGAAATCCTGAGATATTGAAATAGAATGGTTAGTTTTCATGTTGATATCAGGAAAGTCCCTAAGTAGATTTTTTAAACATTTGTTTTAATACAATTGGCATTTCTTTTTATATGAATATGTAGTAGATTTGGTGAACCATAGCTCACTGTACTATCACAGTATTTCCTTCACTGATTTCTTGTCATGTCTCCCTAAGTATGATTTAGACAAGGGCTGTTACTCTTTTGGTTGTAACTATCCATTCTCTATAGATGACTCAACTCTACAACTCTGGCCACTCAAACACCCTCTTGGTAGTTACTTCTTTCAATATCTATGAAGAGGCTTTAATGGTTTCTTTCTCTCTCCCTGTATACCTATACTCCCCAAACTAGTTCTCTTTTTAATTTTTCAAATGTCTTTCAGTGGTACCATTTGTAACTTCTCTATGTCTCAATCTCCTTACCTCTAATACCTATTTCATAGAGTTATTTGTGAGGATTTCATAACAAAGCAAAGTGCTCAGCACAGTGCTTGGCACATAATAGAGACTCAATATTAACTCAATAAATGAACCATATCCTGAGTCACCCAAACTCAAAATAGTAAGAGTAATTTTTTATTTGCCCTTCTCTTATTTAATCAGTGAGCCCTGTTGATTCTTTGAATCATGGAATTTTAGATTCCAAAATTCATAGAATCATAGAAATTGAGATAATTCCTGTCTTACTAGATTTCTAATACTATATAATAAAAGCCAATAATTTGTTTATTTGTACTTCACAAAGGAGCTCTGGTGGCACAGTGGTTAAAGCATTCAGGTGCTAACCAAAAGGTTGAAGTATGGACCCACCAGCTACTCTGTAGGAGAAAGATGAGACAGTCTGCTTTCATAAAGATTTATAGCCTTGGAAACCCTATGTGGCAGTTCTAGTCTGTACTATAGGGTCACTATGAGCCTGAATCGATTCAATGGCAGTGGGTTTGGTCTTTTAAGTACCTTACATGTGTTATCTCATTTAATCTTCACAACAACCCCATGAGGGAAAGTACTGTTAGGATTAATCCCCATTAATTAATCCAGATGAGCAAATAAACCAAATCAAACTCACTGCCATCAAGTCGATTCCAACTCATAGCAACCCCATTGAATTTCCAAGGCTGTAAATCTTTACGAAAGCAGACTATTCCATCTTTCTTCTACAGAGCAGCTGGTGGCTTCAAACCGCCAACATTTTGGTTTGGCTAAGGCCCAATGCCTTAGCCACTGTATCACCAGAGCTCCTCAGATGGGCAAACAGACGCTTAAAAAGTTGGAGTAATTTGCTCAGAGCAAGCCAGGGCTTAAACCAGAGCTCTCTGATAGAGACAAATGCTCTCAACCACTACAACATCCCGTACTACTTCCTCCCCACATGCCCTCCCCAACACACGTATGTGTGCGTGCATACACATACACTTTTTTTTTCTGTAGTTAATGGGAAGACACATACACCTGTGTTAACAACAACAACAACAACAAAAAAATAACCCAAACTCACTGCCATCAAGTCAGTTTCAACCCATAGCAACCCCCTTTGGGTTTCCAAGGCGGTAAATCTTTATGGAAGTGGATGGTCCAGTCTTCCTTCCACAGAGAGACTGGTGGGTTGGATCTGTCAACCTTCTGGTTAGCAGTGCCTTAGGCATTGCGCCACCCAAGCTCCTATAGGAGGAACAAATGAGATCATGCACATATAAGCACTTGAGCTCAGATTTAAGGCATTGTGATTTTTATCTAGTTTGACCATTCAGGAAATTGAGGACCAAAAAATAGACCAAAACTTTTTACTCTCAGACCAGTGTTCTTTCTTTTATATCATGAAACTCCACATGGTGGAGGCCCTCCTTGATTGCTCCTGCTAATGTGGATTTCCCTTCACTGCCTTCCTAATGCAAACATTGTCTACCACTATTTCTGTGTTTAAATACATGCTACCGTGCATTAATATTTTACTGTTTGGTGCTTGTTCTGGCTTATCTCCAGTCAATCAGTTCCATGTCACTTAGAAGCTTTTTGGTGTCATGAACTGAATTATACTTATTTCATATTAGCTTCAGGACCTAGCACTGTGCCAGGCCCGTCTTCAGTAAATATCTGTTGAATGAACTGTGAGGATGAATGCATTTCCACAAGTCCCGGGGCCTTTGTGCTTTCAACCAATGAGAAGAAAACCAGTTCCAGTTTTGGGAATCAGTATCATACATTGAGCAAAAGCTCTTTGGTCTTTCAAGTGTCTTTTTCCGTTTGGGGTTTTATCTCGACTGGACAACATCAGAACTTTACTTTCTAGACTCTTTATCCTTAATCTCACCAATTCTTCAAATTGAAGACAGATGAAAAAATCCAGTTATGTAGATTGTAGTGAAAAAATTTAACCCAAAACTTAGTGGCTTACAACCTCAAACAATATTTTATTATCTTCCATAATTTCTGTGGCTGGTGAATTCAGATAGGCCCTTGGACAGTTTGTCCCTGTTCCATAACATCTGAGGACTCAGCTGGGAAGACTTGAAGGCTCAGGCAATTTGATGGTTGAGATAAGACTCTATGACTGGGGACTAGACTATCTGGAGGTATCTTCACTCACTATCTGGGAGATGATACTGGGACCTCAGCTGGGCTGTCAGCTGAACATCTTTCTATGTAGTCTCTGCTTCCTCACAGCATGGTGTTGGTTCTAAGAGCTACCACCCAAAGAGGACCAGACAGAGCTATATCATCCTTTATGACCTAGCCTGTAAAAATGGTAGCTTACAGGCATCTGACTTCATGAAGTGGAGAGAGAATCAACAACAGCACCAGCCCAAAGCTGGTTGCTATGAAGTGGAGGTCAGACATATCTCCTCTCTCCACTCTTTCTACCAATTCTGACACCAGCCATTCCTCCCATAGCACTCTACTTCTCTGCTGTGTTTGATAATAAGTTGCAATGTTGTTGTTATGTGCTGTCAAGTAGGACCCGACTCATAGCAACCCCTCCTTGGGTTTCCAAGGAGGTATCACTAC